TCAGAAAGTTGCATGCATTAATGCATGTTTATGCTGTTTGTTTGTAACGCTGATTTGATTCTTTTGATTGCATCGTTTTCATTTGATGTCTTCCATGCTCTTAACCGTTCTCGACAAACATTTTCAAAATATGATTGGTTTTCCTTTTAAGAAACAAATCACTAGCAATAAAAGTTTGCATTTCATATATTGTACAGTTGAGTGCCTTGTTGAAATGAAATTTGTTTGTAAGAATAAAACTGTACTGCATTCGAGAATGAGCTCTGCAAAGTTTGATTGGATTGCAGGGTATGATGGAAATACCGCCGGAATGTGACTGTCGAACAATACCGCTCATACAAAATCCCCGACTGATCGCTGAGAATTCCATGTGGCCTGCGCCATTCGGAAAACCGAAACGGCCAACTCGAACGTGTCGAAGCGTGACTCCTTCGAAAATTGACAAATGCTCTCGATACGTCTTTCCGTTGCTCTTCTTAGGATTCAACGGTATTTCCTCATCATATAGTTTGAATATTCAATCAGTTTCACATCCTTGAGATCATCGCTCAAAGTGACTGCAGTAAAAATAGAAGCAATGTGCATTTTTGCATGACTGCCATAGTTTTTTCTTTGTCGATCGTGAATCGATCAAATTCAACAATCTCTTGAAAAAGTTCAAGTGCTAGTAGTAGATTCAAAGTAATTCTTATGCATGTTGTTACTTACTTTTATCATAATATTATGATTACTGTTTCGTATAACTAATGAAATTAACCAGTATATGTATATGTAGACGAATTTCAGTCACCCAACCATTCTTTTTTTCAGTTTGCTATTGGACAATAATGACCGTGCTCAGTTCGTTCGTTGATACCAGCGAGTATATAGCTTTTGAGTGACACACAAAATAGCATCGTTGTCAGCGAGACTCATCATTATAGTCAATTAAACGGCTTCATTCACTTGGCCTGTTCTCAGACATTACTCACATTCATCAATATGGCCTTTCTGATATATCATCATTTTCATTTGCATATATCTTCTTTTCTTTGAATTCATATACATACCTTGATATACATAACAATTCGAGAGTCATGTACATCTATCATCAAACAAACATCATTTCATTCGTTTCGTTTCGTTCCATAACCGAAGTCGAAATCGCCGCTGAAGGCTGCTGAAATGATGACTACTGCAATGATCATTTCAGTATAGCATTCCTTTTCACCCATGATCGATCGTTTAGGAAAGATGTTTGTCCCGCAGACTATGTTATGGAAACGTTCGGAGTGCATCACTGATAATTAAGCGTGATTTCAACCGTTCCCATGCATTTCGAAATATTTTGTTCATTGTCAGCTGCTAGCTTAATGCCATTTCGCGCAAACGTTATAAGAAGTTTGCAGTCGATTGCATGCCAACCACAAATGCAGCACGACTATACATAAGGACAGTAAGGGACAATAAAATTTAATAAAAGCTCTATTGAGTGCGCGCAATGACGAGATTGTTGTTGTTGGGCGTTCTGGTGCACCTCTTGTGAAGATTTATTTCAAAATGCTTGTTTTGATTT